TTATGACTTCAGGGTCTGACTGTAATTAATCAACCCCTTCCCCTTAATTGGGATTATAATAAGAATCCTAATACAATGCGGCCCTTAAAAGGAAGGAGGGGTTCATTACTGACGGGTCTACACAAGGATTGTGGGTATAGGGGTTAGGGGTTAGAAGTACCTAAACCCCAAATGCATGTAACAGAATAGCCCTAAACCCATAATACCAGCCATAAGAGCCATTATTTGACATACTTTTGGGGTCTAGGTAAATTGGGGTTAGGACCTAAACCGAGTCAGAACTAACAATGCGAGGATGCAGGATTGCAACCTGGCTGGGTCTAGGCTCAGGTTGGCTGTCTCATGTGTCAAGGTTTATGAGGTTGGGGCGCGCAGGCAGGCTTCAGGGCTTAGAGTTTAGGGTTGAGGGCTTAGGGTGTAAGGTTTAGGGTTTAGGGTAGGGATTCATTAGCCAGGGATTGCCTGCAAACGCTTAGGAGATTCATATTTGAACTTAGCTTCACACTCCGCCCGCTGAGAAGAGGTTCGTCCAACAAAGTCAAGTACGGCCGTCAGAAGCTTCATGCGCTCCAGTCAAATATCCAGCACAAAGGTTTAACCTGGGAACAAGTTCAAACAACCTAAGGGCACGACTTCTGACAAAGGCGCAAAAGGCCTGGTTTCATGCCACCTGAGGGCAGCACCTCCTTTAGCCAAAGGTTCCGAGTATTTGTAAAGCATTTCATCAGCGGCGCAGGTTGCAAAAGGCATTATAGTCTAAAGTGGTTCAAGGCTATATGGGTTTGGGGTTTAGAGTTTAGAGTCTAAATTCCTGAAAGGGGGTTGTATAAGCCGAATATATAGGGGAGTACTATATAGAGGGGCTACCAGTATCAGTTGGGACTATAGCTCATATAGGCACTTGAAGCCTAAAGATAAGAACTAGATACGCAGATATAGATACCCTCAGGGTCCAGGTGCTCAATAGTACAGGCTTTGGACAAGCAGATGATTATTGAGCACTTGGACCCTTAGGGGTACACATACATGCACATATAGGCGCCCGGACCCTTTGCGCTTATCATTCTCCACCAGCGGCTGCGTCTCAACATGGCGACGCCATTCTCGGCTGTATCATGGATTCCTCAATATATCTGTCAACAAGGCAATGCCCGGACTGGACACGGGGTTCCTTATTGAATCTGGTACTGTCCCTGTTATCTTCCGAGGAGATCTTCATGTCCATCATAAGTCTTGTAGTTCGATTCAAGTTGGAAGCCGAACACCTGCCAGGTCCAATGTCAAATTTAGGGCCTTTAGGGTTTAGGGTTGCGAGCTTTGGACGTTTTGCCGCCAAAACTTTGTGCATTCCTCCTGCTACGCTCTACACATCGAATGCCTCAAATCCTGCCTCATCCTGCTGTAGCCTCCTCCTTTGCAGAAGCCACCCCAAACCTTAAACCCAGGGATTGAGCCCCAGACCCTGGACCCAAAGCCTAAACCTATTGCTTCCCAAAATCGGGGGTCCTTGCCATTGCGATGTAGACAATGAACGTCCAAGGGGTGCAGGAGTGCGCCGTGCCGTCGGCATCCCCCCCAAATATGGTGGTTTCTGTAAAAAGGGGAACCTGTACCTCGCAAAAACTATAATCGTTATTGTAGGGACCCCAAAATAGCCCGCCCCCCCTTATGCGCTAACCCAAACCCAAAGTCCTACCTTTCCCATCAATATGGTGTCCCCAAGCCTCAGCCCTGACCATACCACCGGGGTGTGGTGGTGGAGGGGGGGGGGGGTTCATTCGTTCCTTGTACAGACTTCTGTTTAAAGTTTAGGGTTTAGGGCCTCTTCAAGTTCCTCTTGAGACTGCTTCGATAACCAAACGTAACATGCTTATAACTCCTTTATGTATAACTCTGTCAATATTCTTTCCATCAGCCCGCATTATCCCCCAAGACTGAGTACAACCATATTTGCGGCGAGACCCTGATGTTTGGAGACGTCCCGTTTCAGGTGCGAGACGCTGGGGCCACGGATATGCGAGGTGACATGGATGGGCATCTGGACTCCAGCAAATTCTGAACATTAGCTGGGTAGGCACCTGAAATATGTCACATTTTTCCTAATGGCTTTAATAAGGGACCCTATATACTAATATCTATCAAAGGGCTTTAGGGGCCAACCCAGCTAGTGGGTTTAAGGTGCAGAGGTTATGGGGGATGATGCTAGCGATTACTAGGTCTGGCATGGAGATTTAGTGATATCTGGCGGAGAGTGGTTTTTGGCATGGGCCCCTTCCTGTTGCGGCTTATTGCTTGGACCCGTCTTGCAGCTCTGCTGTGATTCGGTAGGTTTTTGTAGATTCTTAGCCCGAAGAGTCCAAGGACTCCAATATCAGAGTTGTAGGTCAGTCCTAATTCCTACACCCTAAACTTTAAACCCCAAACCCGAAACCCCAAGACTATTCAGATCTTTCGGCTCTTACTGGGTTGCTGTTAAGGAACTTAAATTAAGTTACCATAACGGGTATATATAGTAAATAATAGGGTTGCCCCAATATAGTAACTTAACTTAAGTTCCTTAAATCCCTATATTCCCCCGAGTTTCCATGTCATTTTCCATTTTCTTTTCCATTTGATTCTCCATTATAGGGGGATAATATAGTAATTTAAGTTCCTTAACAGCAGCCCAGCTTAAGGAAGCAAACTTCCCAAGAGCAAGGTACAGGCGATCGGCTGCCAAAGCAACTGCAGCTCCCTGTGGCAGAGGCTCTCTACACTGAAATAGGCTTTCCTTCACTGGGGAATATGTGGACCCTAAATGAGACAGGGCAACCTGATCTGATCTAAGATTTATTCCTGAATTGAGGGATCTTGGGCTCCCTAATTTATTCTGCGTCCTACAAGCTAAACCCTATATCCTGCCAAATCTGGCGATATATGAGCCATAGTCCAAACTCCTAGGTCACCCTCTCTAGCCCACGTAATAGTCCCCTACACAATCCCCCTTTAATGAGTATAGACTCTAGCCATGAACCCTAAACCCTAAACCCTACAGGATGATAAAGGAGTTGTAGGGGCCCTTTTGAGGAACGCCCAGGGATGAATTTCGAGAAGCTCGTAATTGGTTTGGTTTAGGATTGAACGGATTTAGAGCTTAGAAGACTAGTTGCTCTTTCCCTAAGGGTCCATGTACCCAATATTTAGGTACTTGGGATTTGTGTAATAGTAATTGTAGTATAGGGTTTGGGTAAGTATATGATTATTATGTACTTGGACCCTTAGGGTTTGTTGTTGCTAAGAACTTCGCCAATGTAGAAACTGCTGGCTGCCATTCTCAGGTAAAGGTCAATAGAATGAGGGACTTGAGATTGCTGAGGCCAAGCTACTTGAAATATTCTTACAGGCAATAGCTCTTTTTGCACATCATGAAAGATTATTGCTTCCGCATGTTGGGTCTCTCTGGAATGCAAAATCCAGAATGTGAACCTTTTGCTTTGGACTAAGAATTACAGTTCCGTTACAGGTTCATCAAAACCACACCAAAAGAAGTTGTGTGTTTTTTAGCCTTCATCGTGGTGACTGCTATAGGCCCCAAGCAGCCCCCAAAGTTACGCATCTAAACGGGCACACACTGAACCCTACACCATGTTTCCAATAAAGGTGGGTTGGGATGGAGCTTTGAACTTGCCGTCCCCTCAAAATTGTTAAGCTCTCGCATCCCAAGCCCGGAACATCTTAACACTAAATGAGCCATAATCTAAACTCCTTAAAGGGGGGTTATATAGGGGATTATATAGGGGACTACTATAAGGGTTATTAAGGGGGATACTAGGAGTTTAGACCATAGCTCAAATGCTAAATCCTAAGCCCTCAAGTCGCAAGATACTGTTGGTGGAGGAAATCTTACACCACCTGCGGTCCCTGAAGCATGGTAATTCCTAGAGTTGAAACACCGTGAAAGGTTTTCTCCATGAACAGTGTATGAATCCTTCCTGCACCTTCCGAAGTAGTACTGTTTTGTCCTAGTTCGATTTGTTTCCCCAGCTTGCCCTTCAGGTGCACGAGCCTCCGGAAATTGAAGATCTTGCCGGTAGAGTTGGTAGAAGGAGGACGAATTACGCAAACTAACTAAGTATCATCCGCAAGTAGTTTTGTCCAAGTTCTAATGAGAATTCTAACCCCAAACCATACCCAACCTAAATAGGAATTACATTGCAGGGCACCCGCACCTTTGCGCTTCGGGAATTAAAGTCGAATACATCCTACAACCCTATTGTGATTTGGTATCGGGCCCGGTTTCTAGGGAACCCAGGGCCACCCACTCTAAAGGAGCCCCCAAAAATGGAATCCCTTCATAATCCACTAGGTTTCCCCCTAGACCCTAAACCCTAAAACCCTAAACCCTAATCCCCAATGCAATAATGGAGCCTGTTTTTTTTTGGGGGGGGATGGGGTTCCATTTTTGGATCCTTCAGGGGGCCTGGGTACTTGCTCCCTCCGCAGCCTCGGAGTCCCGTGGCTTTGTGGATCCTAACCCTAAGGGTCCAAGGACCCAAATAATGAGGTTTTAGGGCCCAAATACCAATAACATTACAGTATTTGGGCCCTGAAAAACCCTATTACTTGGGTCCTTGGGCCCTTAGGGTAAACGGTGCAGGCTTTCTATTGACTGGACTTCAAAAGGGTTAGGGTAAAAAGTGGCCCAATACAAAGAACAGCCATTTTTCATGAGGAAAACAGATTTCTACATACAGATTGAAAGGGCTAAGGAAGTGCCTATGTTCACTCCTCCACTCCCTGTTTTACACCACTAGGCAGAACGCTAAACGCCAAGCCCTAAGCCCCAACCCCAAACCTTCAACTCCAACCCTGAATCCCAGAAGCCCAACCCTACAAACCCTGCATCCTAGACCCTAAACCCCCAAACCCTAAGGGTCCAAGTACCTAATAATCATATACCTACCCAAAACCTATACTATAACTACTACTACCCAAATCCCAAGTACCCAATTATTGGGTACTTGGACCCTTAGGGGAAGCCCTAAGAGGCCTTCTTTCAGGGTCACCGTCGCCGACTTCAGCTCGAAGCTAGTTCACTGTTATGAGGCTTACGGGGCTCTGAACGTAGGTAAAATGATAGCCTCAAAACCCTAAAAATTGGCCTAAACGCCAATTCTTCTACATACTTTTAGGTTTCAGGTGGAGTTTGAGCGTTTAGGCTTTAAGGCTTTAGGATTCGAAGTTTGTTTCAATGGTATTTTAGGTTATTAGGGTGTTAGGGCTTTGGGCTTCAAGGCTATCAGGGTTTAGGCTTTTAGGCTTACATGTAACCCCAGCTGCCTACAGCTTAGTAGCCATCAACCCCTTCTTGGTAGGTCTAAACCACAACGCTAAAGGTACTTGGGGTTACAAGTAGGGTCAGCGTTTAGAGCTCTTGGCTTAAGGTTTGGGGATTTCGTCTTAGGGAGTTTTGTAGAGGACTGCGTTAAACTGAGAATCGTGCAGGCAGCCAAAGCACAGATGTCTGCATGGTGCGCGCCCGTTTACGAGTTCCACTAGGGTTTAGGGTCTGAGCAGCAAGTCAGGCCAAAAACATACGGGCGTCTGCAGCAATACCCCGAGAACCCCAGCAAGGATTTATGACATCTCTACTGTCCCTCCCCATAGACAGCCCGTCAGCCAGCAATCCTATCTCTTACAACTGTCCACTTGAATCCCTCACCCCTACCCAAACCCTGAACCGTCAAGCTCTGAATCCCCAAGTCCGACCTAAACCCTAGCCCTAAATCAGGAAGCTCCGTATAAGGCATGGTGTAAACTGTATCCCCTGTAGATACTCCCCTATGTCCTGCCTTGGGAGTCCCCTTGTGTGGGCTGCATTAAGTTTAGGGTTTAGGGTTCAGGGTTTTCTTTAGCTATACCAGAACCTTGAACCCAGACCTAAGGAACTGGAAGGACAGCCCCCACCCATTCTGGAGGTGCAGACCTTGGGGGGGTTGGGGGTCAAGGGTTTAGGGTACAGGGTTTGGGGCTTTAAAAAGTTTAGGGCTTTTAGCTTGGATCTCCCAAATACCTGCAAGGATAGCCCACATACCCCTTGATTTCGGGGCTAAAGACTATGATTGTGGGTATGCGGGCAGTGTAGGTCGATGTTTCTCACGGTAATTCAAGGTTTCGTGATCAGCTTGTAATCCATCCCTCCCAAATGTTAAAACACCCCACTCGCTCTAACACTAACTATTCCCCGTGTGGTACATTGAAGTACATAAGGCCCAAGAAATACGCCTATACTGTAATATCCCTTCAGGGTGGGGGTTTTAATGCTAGGGGAGGGGATTTGTTTGGCAAGGTCCTTCTTGGCTCTGCGGGGTGTTTCTAGCTGTTGTTTCATTCACTGGGTCTTTATGGGACAGGGCATACAGGAAGCTGCTTGAAAGGAGGCTGCGGGATGTGCACAGACCCTTGGGGGACGCCATGGTAGGCTTCGAGGGCCTCTGCTTCTAAACCCAAAATCCTAAACCCTAAACCTTCTCTCCAAACCCTAAAGCCTATAACCCTAAACCCCAAACCGCTTTTTAAATCCACTGTGTTGTTTTCACTGTTTCTGGAATTTAAGAGCTTTGTCTCCAGGTCGACTTTGTGATTTGAGGAGGTTCAAGGGCTGCCTGGAGATTCATGGATTAGGGTTTAGGGCCCAGGGTTTAGGGTTGAGGGCTCAGGGTTTAGGGTTCACGCTTGAGGGTTTAGGGTTTAGGGTTGGGACTTTCTGTTCGCTTGCAGCTGGGCAGGGGCGTGGCATGCTGGATAGAAAGGGTTAGGACTTGGGTACTGCCCTCCCCTCAGTAACAGTTGGATAATAAGTATAATATGGTTATATAAAGCCCTCAATAGGACCCCTAATGTAGACTGTCTCTGGGTGGGGGCAGTACCCAGGTTAGGACCCTCACCCAAAGCAGGTAGGAAATCCCAGGAACCTCCAGGCACTATAGAAGCCTAAGTACTTACCAACATCATCCTCCTTGTCTCGTTCTATAACTCGAGTATAGGGTATCTCAAACAAGCATAGAGATCATCTTGTTAAGTGTCTTGGATCCAGCCCTAAACCCTAAGCCCCTGAATCCCTAAACCCTAAACCCCTAAACCCTCAACTCTAAACCCTATACCCCGATATTTAGGCTCCAGCAGGCTATGTGGGCTGTTAGTCCAAGAGGATGCCACCGAAGCCTGAACCCAAGACCCGATGCAAGGAATGTTTAGGGTTTAGGGCTTATAAGGGTTTAGGGTTTATAGGGTCCAGGGTTTATAAGGGTTAAGGGTTTAGGGGTTTCTGGTGGGTTCCGGGATTAGAGTTTCGGGCTTCGGGTTTATAAGGGTTTAGGGTTTTCTGGTGGTTTTCAATTTAGGGTTTATAACGGTTTAGGGTGTACTGGGATGTGGTTAAGGAGCTTAACTTAAGTTAATAAATTGGGGAAAACCCATTAATTTATATATATATATACACATACACATACCCATTATGGTAACTTAGTTTAAGTTCCTTAATAGCAACCCAGTTTAGGGTTTAGGGTTTGGGTTGCCTCAAAGGGCTTGGAACCCAGATACTGGGGTCAAACGGCTTGGGCAGCTTGACACATGAGCTTTAGTCAAAAAACTCCTTACAGGGTGTTATCTGCGGGGGCCCTTCGTTGCAAGTTCCCAACCTTCACCCCAAGCCAAAACCCTAAACCCTAAACCCTGAAGCTTCAGCTTCAACGTGCAATTCATTA